GGGGGAAGGAGGTAGGGGGGGGTCCTTTGAAAGAAGCGGGAAGCTCCATGGCTGAGCCAGCGGCGCTGTAGCCAGTGCCTTTGCTCACAGTGCTGGGCCAACTGGGAAACACTGGCTGGGGGGACGAGGCCAGGCTGCCTGTTGCAGCACTGGAGCCCAGCCCAATGCAAGGGGTGCCACAGGCCTCCCCTCTTCCCTTCTGCCCACGCCGGGGCCAGACTCACTCCACCACTGCCCACATGAATCAAAGTCATTGTGCTCTGGCCCAGTCAGGATGGAGGCAGTTGGGGGCCACCTCCAGCAGGGCTATGGGGAGTATGGGGCTATGGGTCAGGAGTGCAGCACATCAGGAGGGCCAGGGGTCTGCAGGTCATGAGTGAGGGTCAGCAGCTGGGATTGGGAGGCTGCAGGTTGGGACTGAGGGGCACCAACATAGCTGGGGGGGTGGGGGGTGACAGGCACCAGCATGGCCAGGGGGCTGTGGGTTGGGAATAAGGTGTCCCCCCAGTAGGTGTCCTCTTTTTTGGAACTGGAAATATGGTAACCCTAGCTAAACCATAGATTCGTAACACAGTACCAGATTCTCCCCAGCCCTTTTACAGACGTGCTGTGGGAGATCTGCACGCTATATAAAGCCAAGACGAACTGCAGGCCACTGATAGCAGTAACTTGTTCTCTCCCTACTCCTATTGGGCTCCTGCCTGAACAGGAGAAAGAGGCTGTGGAGAGAATAAAGATGTGCCCTGCTTCCTAAAAGGAAAACATCCCCCCTTAGAACATTCATTATAAACCTGTGACCCACCCCTCATCCCCATTTTCTCTTTTGCTGCACCAGTAATCAGTCACTGTGCCTCTAGTGGCCTCCCTGATCAAGGGAGGCTTATACCCTTGGTGGGCCTAGACCCGTGTTTCCCTTGGCAAAATATGTAGGCCTGAAAGAAAAACATGATTTAAAGTCTATTTGGGCTGCCATATGGATTTCTTTTCATTCTTACCCTAGGGAACTGCTTTTTGATCCCAACTAAAGGCTCAAAACCTTATTCTCTACAGAAGATAGTTGCACTCAGTCTCTACGTGCCTGCCTCCAAGAAGCCTCATAAATGAGTTGTAGTTAGCAGTAAGAAGCCAAGGAGAAGGTAGGGTACATTTGCAGCTTCTAGACTAACTGAAGCAGACAGCTATACTGAGCCTGTCCTTTCACAGCATCTGATGGCCTGCGCTATACTGGTTAGCCTGTAAGGTGCAAATGTACCCTGCCCTCTCCTCACCTCAGAGATGCCAGCACACTTGAGCTTCTTCCGACCAGGCTCATTCCGGCTAATGGAAAGTCGCAGCCTGGGCTGTGCTCTCAAAAGCAATGCGGCTGGGATTCCCACGCGGAGGCTGCAGATGTTGGCTGACCTTATGGGGGTGGGGGAAGCTCAGCCTACGCAGCTCCTGCAGGAAACTCGTCAGGCTTCGCAACTCGGAGCCAAGCCTAGGCAGCTGAGGATGCAGGGTCCTCTTCACTGTCACCCGTGCGGAAAATGCTGGAGCTTGGGGGATCTCTTCTCCCCTTTTAACAAAGAACAGAACTGAAAGATGCCAAAACCAATTGCTCGCCCTGCCACGCTGTGGCCCTCGCAGGGGCGACAAACTTGTGTGGTGCTGCGGGCCATGAGTGGTGTGGGACCAGTCTTGGGGGCCCAAAAAATGGTGTGGGGCCAGCTTGAGAGCAAAACGAATGTCCTGATGAATGGTGTGGGGCCAAGTCTGGGGGGACACATCTGGGGGCCAGATGAGAGGTGCAGCAGCAGCTCCAGGGCCAGATGAGCAGGGTGGGACCACTCAGGGGGCCTGATGAATGAAGTAGGGCGAGCTCCAAGGGCCTCATGAGCAGCATGGGGCTGGACCACAGATGAGATAAGTGGCATGGGGCCACCCCCACGGGGCACATCCTCGCCCTGGGTCCCTGCGCTCCCTCATGCCGGATGCCGGCCAGGGATGAGGGGAGCAGGAGGGCGCCATGGGTGCTGGGCTGCCCTGTGGAGCAGTCGCCCCCTCAAGGCCGTAGCCGCGTGGGCTGTTCCCTGTGTGGGAAGTGGGGGAGGGGCAAGGCAGGCAGGTGGCACAGGGAAGCCCCAGCCCAGCCTGACGTAGGCGGGATTCCCCATAGCCCCGCCCCCTCCCCCACCTCAACGGCTCGGCACGTGCTGGCTGTGCCGGTGGTGGGGCACGACCTTTCTGGAAAGGGGGGCAGGGCGGCGGCACCCCCGGTCTCCTAGCAACGGCCGGTCCGCGCACACACACACGTCAAAGGAGCGCGACGGGAGCCGCCGAGTGCCATTTGTGGCGGGGTGCTCGGCGGGCGGCTTCGCGCTACTTGGGTGCAAGCGGGGGTCAAAGGACGTCTTCTGCCCGCCAGCGCCGCGACTCGCCGGGAGCAGGATGCGGCGGCGCGGGGGTGAGGCGGCTGGGGCCGGCGGGGCTCGGGGGGTAGCGCCGGGGGGTGAAGGGGCGCGGCTCCGGGGGAGGGGCCTGGTG